TGTAATGAATATTGCAGGATTGCTTTAAAATACTAATACATAATTTTAACAAAGAAGTCTTTAGGTTGCACTTAAAAACTGAGTATTATGCAATACTGATGCAACAAACTAGTGACTCAGAAGCGTACTTTTTATAACAGATTTACTTTGGAAGGATGTGTTAGAAAATGAATCAAGTAATAATAGACTAAATAATTTCATAGATTTTACGTCACCCTCTATTCCGTGCCATTTTGGTTGAGGAGCTGACTAGTGTCCACTTTTCTTGCTCCAGTAACCAAGGATACCATTCAGTCATTGTTTAATTTTTAGAGAGAGATAATAATGTACTAATGCTACAAGGTTAAGCACAGCAAGTCAGCTAGGCAGTCACATCAAATATAAAAGATCAGGTTTGTAAATTTAGATTAGGGGGTCTTCAAACCTGACCCTTTTATGACTTGTGGATGGACAATTCATCTTCAAAAGCCATTAAAAATTATAAATAAGATGCTAATTCAGACCTAAAATGGAGTATGGGCCAATGAAGCTTTTCTTGTTATGGAAATGTATGTATAAACAAGCTCTAGTTTTCACCTAAATAGGTTTATCATATACATTGCAAGGACACAAGACTTCCTATCTCTGACTTCTCCCTCAGTTGAAGAATACAAAATAGATTATCTACACCACAGGATTAGTTATGACGTACTGTGAGACACCAGACCATTATCTTTAAAACATAAAGTTAAACTCATTTTCCCTAAGAGAAGAAAAACTCACAAAGAGTACAAAACAAATGAGGTGAAATCTAGGATTACTCTTTTGATGCATGTACTATAGTGATTGGAGCAACCTTGAATGATCATGCTAAAAAGGAGAACGGAGTAAACTGAATATTAGACGTACTTTTGAAACTTAACTTGCGCAAATAAGCTGTGGTTATTTAGTAAATATTTATTTCCAAATCAAATAAAAGAATTGAGAAAAAATTAAATTAACGTAAGAAATGCAGTTAATGTGCAGCTTGAATGTCTGTAACCCTTGTTCTATGAAAAACACCAATGGCTCAAAAACATCTGTTGTATATGAATATTCTTAGTATGTCAAAGGATTCAACTGAGAGCAGAAAATCTTGTATAGTGTATACCAAGATCCCATCATCATTATCAGTGATTATTTTAGTGTTTTGCAGTTACTGTAATAAAACTAATCAACCAAAAGTCTCTCACAATTAAACCTATATAGAAATATTAAAGTGAATTGTTATGTATAGGTACTCCTCGACTTACAATCACCACTGAGCCCAAAATTTCTGTTGCTAAGTGAGAATTTGCCCCATTTTATGACCTTTCTTGCCACAGTTGTTAAGAGAATCACTGCAGTTTTTATGTTGGCAACACGGTTGTTAAGTGAATCTGGCTTCCCCGTTGACTTTGCTTGTCAGAAAGTGGCAGAAGGGGATCAGCTGACCTGGGACATTGCAACTGTCAAAAATATGAGTCAGTTGCCAAGAGTCTGAATTTTGATCACATGACCGATCACAGGGGTGCTGCAGTGGTCGCTAAGTGTAAAAAACAGTCATAAGTCACTTTTTTCACTGCCTCTGTAACTTCAAACGATCACCAAACAGTTGTGTCAAGGACTACCTGTATTTTGGACATATAGTTAAAAGTCAGCCATTATTATTCTACTTTAAAAAAAAAACAAGATCAGATTAACACTTTGTTAATTTTACAGAAGATTCCCCCCAAAAAGGCTTTTACAAATCAGTAACTAATGACTTCAGAAAAACAAATTGCCCTTCATTTATTTGACAGTTAGATTCCTATTGGAGGACCAGTTGCTTTTCTTGAATATTGTTTTTAATAAAACCTTTCCTAAATCCACTCCAAATAGCAATCTTTTACAAAGTAAATATGATTGACACAAGCTCATTACGTAAGGCTCATATTATTTGTTTGGCTGAGTAAATGGAGGCAAACTGGAACAAGTGTTGAAATCAAATCAGTTTCACTTGAATTTGTCAAGATCTAGACCAGGGGTCTTCAAACTTGGCCCTTTTATGACTTGTGGACTTCAACTCCCAGAATTCTTCAGCCAGGCATTCTGGGAGCCAGGCAATTGTAGGAGCTGAAGTCCACAAGTCATAAAAGGGCCAGGTTTGAAGACCCCTGGTCTAGACATAATGCTGACAAAAATGATTAGTCCTTAAAAACTATTTAAGGAAAACCTGGCTACTTTTTATGAGCCACATGTGCATTTAGTTGTTTCTGCTATATTATTAGTTCTTATTTACACAAGAAATTTCACTGGGGTTATGGAAAATTTAAAAACAAAACTGAAGTTGAGTAACAGTCAAGACTAATAAGTCAAAACCAACTTAGAGTTCAGAATGTATACTGATTTTTTCTCTCTTGAAAGATCAAGTAACTCAGTGCTATTTTAAATAATTAACTCTATGGAAAAATCAGATAAAAGGGGGAATTCAGGGTATTTACACAAACAACATCTCAAGTCAGTTATAGATACAACAGTCCCTTTTAGACAATATGTTTGACTTACCACCATTTGTTTATTGACCGTTCAAAGTTACAACAGCACTGGAAAAAGTGATTTATGATAGCTTTTCACAATTATGACCGGTCACGTGATCAAAATTGGCCGCTTGGCAACTGGTTCATATTTACAATGGCTACAGTGTCCCAGGGTCATGTGATCACCTTTTGCAACCTTCTGACAAACAAAGTCAATGGGAAAGCCAGATTGACTTAACAACAGTGTTACTAATTTAACAACTGCAGTGATTCACTTAATGACTGTGGCAAGGTCATAAAATGGGGCAAAATTCACTTAACTGTCTCACTTAACAATATAAATGTTGGACTCAATTGTCGTAAGTTGAGGACTACCTGTATGTAAAAATAGATTAGGCAAACAGAATGCTTAGTAAAGTTAAAGCATTTCAAAAGAACTCTTTTTGAAAAATGTGTCATATGTATCTTATTATTAGATAATTTTGCAATTATTAATGCAGAATAATGAAAGATATGAAGTTTATGTATTTCCTTGTTTAAAAATAGGAATAAATTGATTTCCCTCTAAGAATTTAAAACAATATTTAACAAGAACAAACATGTTGCTTCCATGACTCCTAAGTCTGCTGTGCAATTTTTATCTGAAACAAACATAAATGAAATGTGGAATGTCCTTTTCATTTAAAGGACACTAAAAACAGGACACAGATACCTGAAAAATAATACAGCAGCATGGAATATGCTTGATCATTTTAGCTAATTTGGACATTTTAACTACAAAATCCTCTGCTGAGTATGATTGTTCTGGAATCTGGATCATAGCCTGAGAAAAAGCAGGATCAATGTAGGTTTTCATGTTATTTTCCACCTCATTTCTAACTTAGGGCTACAGAAAGCCAGTCTGGTCTAGTGATTAAGACATCAGGTAGAAAGCGGGAAACCACGAGTTCTAAGCCTGCCTTAGGCATGAAAGCCAGCTGGATCACTCTCTCTCAGCCATCTCAGTTCATAGGCTTGTTGTGGAGAAAATAGAAGGAGAAAGAAGTATTATATATGTTCTTTGCCTTGAATTGTTATTAAGTAAAAGATATTGTGTTAAACTTGAAATGTAAGCAGTTGAACTGCCATTCATCAACAAAGCCTAAAGAACACTATTGTAATTTCCCACTAGGATGATTCTGAAAATATTACAGAACATACCTTAGATTGTTTTTGAAATTCTAATTGGACAGTTGACAATACAATAATGAACAATTGAAAGAAAACCATTTAGTGCAAGCAAATGCAAAAGGTTACAATTCATTTTACTTGCTGCTATTAAAAAGAGGTAACAGTAGACATTTAAAAAGGCAAAAGACCAGGGTTTTGGCAAACCCATCAAAAAAACCCCACATTTTTGTTCAATAGTCTATCCTCCATCTGCTTAAATACAGGTAGTCCCTGACTTACAACAGGTTGAGCCCAAAATTTTTATTGCTAAGCAAGACAGTTGTTAAGTGGATATTGCCCCATTTTATGATCTTTCTTACCACAGTTGTTAAGTGAATCACTGCAGTTATTAACATGCTTGTTAAATGTCAGAAGGTTGCAAAAGGTGATAATGTAACCTGGGACTCTGCAACCATCATAAATACTTCTCAGTTGTCAAGTGTCTGAATTTTAAATACTTCTCAGTTGTCAAGTGTCTGAATTTTGTTCACATGACCATGGGGATTCTGCAGTGGTCATTAAGTGTGGGAAATGGTCATAAGTCACTTTTTTCAGTGCCACTGTAACTCTGAATAGCTCCTAAATCAGGGGTAGGCAACCTTGGCTCTTTTATGACTTGTGAACTTCAACTCCCAGAATTCCTGAGCCAGCCATCTGGGAGTTGAAGTCCAGGAGTCATAGAGCCAAGGTTGCCTACCCCTGTGCTAAATGAATGGTTGTAAGTCAAAGACCTGTATTTGCATGCAAGCTTATTCAAATTATTTATTATTTATAAATTTATTATTAAATTTGCCACCATCTCACCACTGGAATGCAACTGTACACAAAATTTAAAAACAACTGGTTGAAATGCTGGTCTTATAAAGGCAAGAAAATAACACATACACACATTATGTACACTTCGTCAAAGAGAAGGGCAGCCAAAATTGACTCTGAACATGTAGAACTGGTTTACCCTGGACAGGTAAGCAATGGTTTGCATATATACACAAAGCAGCTGTCCCATCACCCAGGATTTGTACATCTGGATTAACATTTTAAGATAAATGTTTGCAGTTACCCTTTACACAACTTGCTACAGTTCAGAGGCATTTTGAAGAAAATAAAGGCACCCAAACAGAATTCTTCCTGTGGAATTAACAGGATATTATTCCACACTATTCACAGTTGCATTTTTCCATTGAACACAAACACTCTCAATATTAACTATTAATCTTTAAAGAAGCTTTTTGCAAGGGCCAAAAGGCAGGCTATAAAGTGTATATAAATAAATACCTGGCACACCACATTGTAATGGCTATATTACATGTTGCTCATAACCAAGTCTCAAAAGAGGTGGGCATTGTTTCCTTCTACAGCTTTGGTTGAAAACATGTCACGTGTGACGAATGTCATGCAATGTGAAGCAACCGTCCAGACCTGGATCCCTTGTAAGGAAACATCCTTTAACAACATCCTTGCAACACAACCCCAAGAGCTGTATTCTAAAGTTTCCCCCAGGCATCTATTTGAAATAAGTTAGGTCCTGTTTTTCCATCCAGTTATGCTGGAGGCTCGCAAGTGGCAACTGAAAAAAACAAAAAAAACCCACATTGTAGAACAAAAGTGAGATTTAGTGAGACTGGGAGCTAGCTTTCCAAGCAACTTCTGGGGCGCATGTGCACTGCGAGTTAACTTTTACGGGTGAGTAATACGTAGTAAAGCAAAAAAAACAAAAAAACACCCAACCCAAAAGCGTCTCGTCTTCTCTCCCGAACGAAACGCGCCTCTTCCAGACGTCCACCCGAAGTACCGAAAAAGGGGAGAGTGACGGAACAAAACCACAAACGCAACCACGAAAAGGCACGACGCAGGAAGTTCTAAAGAGGATACACGCCAACACACACACAGAGAGACAGACACGTGCGCGCGGGCGTACACATAAACGCCTGCGTAAGACCTCCGCTGACACGCAAGCTCCCCGCGTGTTCAGCCCGCGTATTCCCACGCCCGCGTGCAAAACACGCGCCAGCTCCCCGCCGCTGCCCTCCCGGGTTCCCCTCCAGCAGGCGCCGCCGACGAGGTCGGAGACGCGCCGACCTCGACTAAGCAAGGCCGCCCGGGTGGCCGACCAGCACGCCCTCACCCGGCCTCGTCGCCCAGCAGGCCCGGCGCCCGCCTGGCGCTCACCTGCATCCAGCCCGCGGGGCGTCTGTCGACGGGGCTGAGGCGACTGCTCAGGCGGCGGCGGGGCTGAAGGCGAGCAAGACATGCAGGAGGCAGCGGCCGGGCCGGGGCGAGCGCAGGGCGGGCTCGAGGAAGCCACGGGCCTGACGCGGCGGGGGCCAAGCGGGCAGGCGGACACCCTCCCGGGCCGTCTTTCCCTCCTCTTCCTCCTCAGGCCTCGCCAGCGGCGGCAGCGGCGGCGGCAGCGCGGGGATTACTGCCGGAGGAGGGGCCTGACCTGCCGCGGCGTGAAAAAGAAGGAGGAGGTCTCCAGCCGCCGCCGTCTCCTCCTCCTCCTCGCCCTCCTCCTGCGGCGGCGCCTCGCCTTCCCGCCTCGCGCGCGCGGGCCCGCGCATTCCCCCCACCCATCCCGCGCCTCGCCTCGCGCAGCCGCCCCCACCCCCGGAAGCCTTTCTTTCTCCCCCCACCTCCACGCGGGAGGGGGAAAGGGAGGGTCCTACCCAGAGGGGAGGCGAGGACGCGCGGGTAATAGGAGGGGAGGGTGCGCACGCGCGCGCGTCCCTCTTGGAACAGTCTCGCGCGGGGGGCGCGCGCGGGGGGGGTGGACGGGTTCGCGCGCGCGGGCACTTGTCCGGCCCGTTCTACGGGGCGGGGGTGTCTGACAATTCGACATGGCCAACTCACTATGGCCAACTCACCATGGCCCACTGGCCGCGCCAACTCACTATGGCCAACTTGCCATGGCCCACTGGCCGCGGCCAACTCACTATGGCCAACTTGCCACGGCCCACTGGCTACAGCCAACTCACTATGGCCAACTCTCTATGGCCCACTGGCCACAGCCAACTCACTATGGCCAACTCACTATGGCCAATTCACCATGGCCCACTGGCCACGGCAAACTCACTATGGCCAACTTACCATGGCCCACTGGCCGCGGCCAACTCACCATGGCCAACTCACTATGGCCAATTCACCATGGCCCACTGGCCACGGCCAACTCACTATGGCCAACTCGCCATAGTCAACTTGCCATGGCCAACTCGCCACAGCCAACTTGCCATGGCTCACTGGCCACGGCCAACTCACTATGGCCATCTCGCCTCCAAGGTCCCTTCCAACTTTATTATTATTATTATAAGGCTGATGTGGAAGCATTTTTATGCATATCTGGCTTGAAGGCTGGAATATCCCCTTCCAAACTTCGTTCACCCATGCTTTTTCCCTTGCGCCTTATTACAATTTCCCAACTCTGGGAATTTCCAAAAGTGTAGACCTCACCTCCCAGAATTCCACAACGTGCATGACCATTGATGAGAATTCTGGGAGTTGAAATCCAGACTCTGGAAATTCCCAAGGTTGGGAACCATTGCCTTATTAGGTGTTTCCTTACTCTTCCTTCATCCACAAGCATTTTATTTAAGGCCTTGACTTTTACATGGCTTTTCACATTACCTATCGAATTGTTCCTCCTCTCCATGAGATCAGAACTGGAGAATCTTTGTTGATGTTGAGAAACAGAGATAAGCTTTGAGTGTGACCTGGAAGGTATGCAAGAGCCAAAACTAATTGGGGGAGGCTGTTTTTGATACTCCCTTTTCTCTGCCTAAGTAGTGCAATGCAGGAAAGAGGCAGACAGACGGCTCTTAACAGAGAATTTACTTGTCACACTGGGGTTTTGAAGGAATTTGAGCAGATAGCCAATTTTTATTTTAGAAGCCCCCCCCCCCCAAACTTACAGAAACAGAAAACTGATAGCAGAAAAGGAACAAGTGGTCCATCAAGCCTGCGCTTTTGAAGGTTTTTTTTCTTCTCTTTTTAATTATTTTAAATTATTTTAATTATTATTTTACCATTATTTCTCATTTTTTATTTATTTATTTTTGTCGGGTGACAGACGTGTTTATCCCAAGCACGTATAAATTATTTCAGTAAATATCCTATACAGGTATAGGATGAGCTTACACCAGTGGTGACGAACCCATGGCATGCATGACAGAGGCGGCACTCACAGCACTCTCTGTGGGCATGCGCCATGCCCCGAAGATGGCAACCATCCCTCTTCAACCAGCCACCCGCTAACTCGCCAAGGTCCCATGTGGCCGGATGCATCCCAGCACGGCTGGTTTCCCTCCCCCCCCGCCCCTCCTGGCCTCACATGCTTTCCTTTTCCCAGGCACAACCCACTGCATCGCTTTCTCAGCTGTCGGCCAGCCCTCCAGCTCAGAGGCGGCTTCTCTGAACTGCTGGTGGCGGGCTGCAGAGCCCCACAGTGCGCTAGTCGAGGGGCCAGCAGTCTGTGGCTGCTGACGGACACTGTCAGCCCCCATGCGCTTGCTGGCCTCTGTGTGTGGGGAGGGGCGATGGTGTCAGGCAGCAGCCGCCTCGGCCCCTGCCTCGCCTTGCCCTGCGACAATGGCACCCCTGCCCTGCCTCGCCTTACCCCGCAGGATGAGCCTCCTGCCCACTGTCCCACCTGCCAGAGACCCCCTGGATCTTCCCCAACCCTGCCTGGCCCCCACAGGCGTCCCTCCCGAACAACATCGAGGTGACCATGCCCACCTTGGCCGCACCCACCCAGTTTGCCATGACTACAACCACGCCCACTCAGTGGGCCACATCCACCTGGCACCCGGCGATAAATAAGTGGGTTTGGGTTGCAGTTTGGGCACGCGTTCTCTAAAAGCACTGAAAAAAGTGACTTATGACCATTTTTCACACTTTCGGCCCTTGGGGCATCCCCAGGGTCACATGATCAAAATTCAGACGCTTGGCAAGTGACTCATATTTATGATGTTTGCAGTATCCTGGGGTCAAGGGATCCCCTTTTGTGGACCTTCTGACAGCAAAATCAGTGGGGAAGCCAGATTCATTTAACAACAGTGTCAATAACTACGGCAGCAATTCACATTTATGTCATGAAAAGCTGTAAAATGGAGCAAAGTTCACTTAACAAATGTCTTAACAACCAAACCCAATTGGACTCAGTTGTGATCATAAATCAAGGGCTACCTGTGGTCTCTTTATTTCCACTCATATTTCTCTAATGGCTTCTTCTATCTGGAATCTAACGATTGTCAAAGCACTGGTGATTCCCCATTTCCCTTTTATGCCCATAATCGTAACCTTGTTGGCTTTGTTTCTTGGTCTTCATCCCTCATAGAAAGGAAGCAGAGTAATTTTAACTACATCTGTGCGAATTAAATGCCCTTTTTTACTCCTACTGTTGAAATATAAATGGTCAGCTCTTTAAGACATGTCCTTTTTTTAATTGGCTGAATAAAATGTAATTAGAACAATTAACCAGTGAAACAGCTTGTCTTAAGAAGTTGTGGATGCTCCGACACAAGAAGTTTTAGAAGAGATTGGGCAGTCACTTGTCTGAAATGGGGTAGGGTCTCCTGTTTGTGTAAGGGGTTGGACTAAGGGATCTCCAAGGTCCCTTCCAACTGTGTTCTGTTATAGTTCATGTTATATGGACAGCCTTCTATGAATAATATTCATAGATTGTAACAAATGGTAATAAAGTGCTCTCAAAATATACCTGAAAACTGGAAAAACCCATTCCAAAATCATCTTGAACCCAATTTGGAACAGTGTCAGATAATTTTTTTCAAAACCAAGTATAGTTTGACAATTGCATTTTGATATCACTGCAACTGTCCTAAATAATTGTAACTTTTTTTTTAAATTGAAAAGTTTTACAAAAATTACAAAATATACCCCAAACCCAACCCCCCTGCCCCCCCCTCACTCCCCTACCCCACTTCCCAGAGCTGAATACAGGGTAACAGATATAATAATCATAATCTAACTAACATTAACCAACTATGTAAATAAACAAATATAATGCACTTTAACTCTCTTTTAACACAGAATAAAAAATTTGCAAATAAACTTTATCATATAATCAAATTAAAATCCCAATTTATAAACAATACAATATAATAAAAATTCCACTATACTAAACTATTATTAATAATAATAACAATAATAATATTCAATAATTTATTCATAAAATAAATGGAACTTTTTAGTCCCATATTTATTCTGAATATAATCTATCCATCTTCTCCAAACCGAAATATATCTTTCTTGTGAATAATCCTTCAAATAAGCAGAAACTTAGCCATTTCTGCTAAATTTAACACTTTAAGCGTCCATTCTTCTATAGTAGGCAAACAATCCTTCTTCCAATATTGCCCTACCAACAGCCTTGCTGGAGTTATTAAATTCAACATCAAATTAATTTCCTTAACATCAAAATCTACAATAATACCCAACAAAAATAGTTGAGGTGTAAACTTTATCTTTTTTTAAAAAATATTCTGAATGATCCACCAAATTTTAATCCAAAAAGCTTTTACATTTCTACAAGTCCACCAAATAATTGTAACCTGTGATATCTGAACGGTTATTAAAAGAATTATTAAAGCAGAAAATGACTCACACTAAGCTGGGGTGTTGGGGTTTTTTTGACCTTTCAAGGTTCTGCAGGCATATTTTGAAGGAATCTTGGCTTACATGAAACCTGATTAAATCCACACTGTAATTTGTTCCTTCCAAGTAATATATTGCTTAGATCATCCTTCTCCTCCAAAATGAGTTTAAACCTTTTCTTGCATTATTTTTTCAACCTTGGCTCATATTTATAGTCTGACTATTTTTGTACACAACTTCTGCAGCCCACAGTGATACTGTAGGTGACAAATGAAGGCAATAAGTTGCATCAGATCTGAAATCTCCTGCAAGATTATATGTCAAAGAAAGGAAGTAAGTGTGCTAATGAATTGAAAAACTGTTGGATCACCAAGTTCTTCTATCCAGACCA